TAAGCTATAAATAAGGGCACTGAGAAAATGTATTTAAGGCTAAGACTCTGCCTAAAAGGAACTTCTTATTTGAACATATGGTTCAAACTTGTCAGATCTTGTTTCCTGCCTGGAACAAGAAGACTTGGGGCTAGTCACTGTTGTAAATGTTGCTTATATTCCTCAAGGTATCGGCATATCAACCTCATTTTTTAGACTGCACCTTTTGAAAGCAGTTTGTTAAATAGAATATTTACTCAATGCAAAACAAAGAGGAAAAAAATAGCTGTTATGCCTATATTTATTCCCAAACTGTCTCACTATGTTATCAATAACATAACTTTGACATGAATTTTGACCAAAACCCAAAAATATTCTGTCTTTTTGCCTGATCATTATGAGTTTGTACCACAGCAAGAAATGAATTATTTTTCCTATGTTTCTGACAGTCTGAATCTTGTAGCCATTGCATCAGGATGTTCTGCAGAAACTATTTCACCTCTTTTTTCAGAAAGAGAGAGAATTGTCAAACCCAGAAAATCATTTTAGGCCCCCAAGTCATAAAGAGTCCTTTATGTTTCACCTCTTGATTTTTGAACGCTTAATGCTCTCCTGTTCAACTTTTTCTCTCCAGTTCTGAGGACTAGTATTTTTCAGAGGGCAGCCTAGATAGTGGAATCCAGAAATATGATGTGCTTCATCTTAAAATACAAATTGGGAAACACAGAGAAACAGGGATTTCCTGTTTGAATTCTATAGTTTGACTGGCAAAGTAATAATAGTAATAATAGTGATAATTTTAAAAGAGATCTTGCATTTTTCCCTTCATGATATGCAGTGACCAAGGCTGATTCATGAAGTCATGATTATGAAGTCATCCATTAGTTTGGAAAAAAAGCTGTATTGAACTTTAGTTTAGGGATAGGGCTGTTTTGTGTAGTTATGTGACACTAGAGGCATCTTCATCCATTAACGTTGGGCAGAATCCAATCTTTAGAAAGGATTAGGTCAAATCCATTTGTTTTCTCTTTCCTAATAATTTGTTAAAAAAAAGTTATGTAGGTCTTTTTGATGCTATTATGTTGACCCATGTTGAGCAGCAGTAAGCCTTGTATTTTGTTTTGCAGTAATGCAGAACATTAGTGTATCATAAATGTAATTTTATTTACATTTGTATAAAATATTGGCATATATATGTCATTCTTTGCAATTACTTTTGCATATAAAGAAATCTAATATATATGTAATAGCTCTTCAAAGACCAAAAGTTTGCTGGCATACTAGGAATAAAAGAAATGGTAAGATGTGAATAGGATCAGCAACTACTCACCGTCGCTGTTAGAATACCTTGTTTAATTCCAGAGCAGTTGCTTTTACAAAGAGTTAAACTTGTTGAAATGCGAAAATCATTATGGAATTGCTGAGAGAAAAATAACTGAGAAAGTCGTACTGTAGATGTGCTAATACCAGGAAAAAATGCATACAAATATACTAAGTGCTCTACTGAAGGCATGTTATTTCATGCTACATTGCTACATCTCCAAACTGCCACTTTAACCATGAGATATCTGCAGAGAATTTCTAGGCCTGCACACAGAACTGGTTGTATAATGAGGCAATCTTGGGATTGGAAATTAATTGCCAGCATACATGAACCACCTCTTTTGCATGCTAAGAACTGGTAGGAGGGGACAGTGGGTCTTCAATGGCCAGGGCCAGATGGCTTAAATTCTGCCTAAGTTACTGTCTTTAATATGTCCAAGAACTGTACCACAGCCAATAGTCACAGATGAAGTTAAGACACATGACCCTTTAGGATCATGCACTGACCAGTGGCAAGGGCGTATTGGCTCCAGAACTATCCCCTATTCAGTTTATGTTAGGCTATTTTAAAAGTTCATCCCCATAAGGTAGCTAAAGAAACTATTGCACTGGAAGCAATGTAACTGTGGTACTGTGCAGCATGAGCTACAGCAGAGCGAATGAATGAATGCCCATGAAGCAGTACAGTGTAAAATCTGTGCTGCTTCTGATACTTGAGCTGGCTTGGTTAACGCCACCTGTGGCATCTCTGCAGTAGACTGCAAACAGCCTGTTGGAAAAGAAGCAGAAGGCAGGGGAAAAAGACCACTGGGAAGGGGGGGTCAGAAGTGTGAATAAACCTGCATAAATTTGAGTCTATGGTCAATGACCAGGTGGTCATACAGCAGTCTTGGACACTTTCATCCTCAGCTCCAGAGGCAGCAGTTCTGTGGAACTGCCTGCTCCACAAAAGCCTGTGTCAGTCCAGTAATTTCACAGTGCACACAATTTAGACAACACGGCCTACAGAATCAGATGTGAAAGGAAACATGTACTGCCCCTGACTGCTGCTCAGTGATGTCTAGAATCACAGTGACTCATTCATACTCTGTGAACATTTGGATGTTCTAAAACAATCAGCGGAGCATATCACGACATACTTTTTAGTGAGTTGCAACCCATGACCTTTCAGTATTTTGGGATGTTAACAATTTCTACTGGAAAATCATCTGATATGATCCCATCATTTCAGTTCCCTCAGTAGCTTTATCCTAATTTGTAGCTTCTTTTTTTTTTTTAATTTTTAAATAACATGAATGTGTAAGGATGAGTTTACTGGGTCAAAACTAAAGCAGAGTGTCCTGTCTGAAGCACTGGCTGAACTTTTGCAGAAGGCAAATGGGAACCAAAGTTTTAAAAAATGTCCACGCAGCAGATATATGCCCTGGAATAGGGCAGTCTGTACATCCAAGGACATTCCTTGGGATTCACTTTGACCCTCAGTTTTGCTCTTGACTCTGCAGAAGTGTTCTGCAGAGGTAGTGAGAAAATGGTTAAAGGTACTGAATGCATCAGGTGTGACCTGGTATAAAAGGGAAAGGAATAGCAGTGTGAATAAGGAAGGAGGGATAGACTGCTCTTCTGTTTGTTTTACACGATCCTCCCTGGTACTGCAGAGAGCTCACCTAAACACAGCTGTGGCATTGTTCACTGTGTTCCCCCCCAAGGGAAGATTTTGATTTGTCTTTGGGGGCAGGTGAGCATGGAAGATGTGGTGGGGTGGAAATTGTGATTTTTTTCAGGTGATTTTCAGACAAGAAATAGATCAGAGTGAATAACAGTAGTAATTGACTCACTTCTGAGCACCAGTGTCTCACATTGCTAAACCAAGGAAAATATTTCCAATACGTTTGTATCTGACCATTGCACTCCAGTCAGTGTGGAGCAGAGCTATTCTCCACTCACTCCGGAAATGCACCCTTTGGATTTCCCAAGGAATTATATTCCCCTTTGTTTCCAGTTTCCTAGCATAAATTTAGGAACTTTCAAGGTAGTAAGTGCTACATGTCCGTGGATGTTTTTGTCAGAAAAATGAAAAAGCCTTACTCAGAGCATCCTAGTAACTGCTCTGCTAATGACATGATCAGCTGCAGCAATAACAGTTAAATCCTCAGCATCAACTAAAAACCCCTTATCTTTCTGAAAACCTCAGGCTAGATGAGAATCTTAAGCTAAACCCAAATTGACAATGGAAGAAATCTTTGCCTGGTTAAAGATAGTATCACTGGCTTTACACTACCTCCTCTATTATTAATGGAAAGTAACAGTTGGGAACAAGATACATCACTGGCAGGAGGAAAGCGTACTGATTTCCTCCTGTCTTCACCCATCCCTGGAGCAGAGAGGTAGAGGAGTTGCTAAGAATCCCATTTTCTCTTTCATTTTTAGCTTTACGGAACAGAAATGCATCTGGTTGAGAATGCCACCTAAAATTTGCAACTAGTAGGGCCAAACGAAAAGCATTATTATGAACTTGTCCACAGCACAGACAAAAGGTACAACAACGTTTCCCAATCTTTGCACCTGGAAATGAGAAATAACGTTTCAGAAGATGGATTGAACCTTATAAAATCTTAACTACCATCACCGGAAAGTGCTGCAGTTCTGCCAAGTCAATTCAGGAAAGATGCATAACATGATTTGAATATGTAGAAAGGAGTTTTGTGAGTAATTTCAGTGCATTGCTAAAAGGAATAAAAGATCTGAAGTACAAAGTGATCTGTTTTTCTGAATGAAAATTCAGGAATTTATTGGATTTCTAAAGCACGGGGTAAGTTATCTCTCCAGTACAGCAAATGTGAAAATGATCATAAAGAAAGGAACATTTCCTGGGAGAGACTCACAGCACCTTCTGAGAAAGGTGGTCCATCAAAGCTTCTCTGTTGGAAACTTGACAACTACATCTCCCCTTTACAGAGACTACAGCTGTCCTATTCCATTATTGTCAAGAGCACAAAGGTAAAGTTTTTCCCTGTCCTGTTTTCTTTCACAGTCACAAAGGCTTGTTTTGCTGCAAGTAATCAGAAAAAAATCAAGCACTTTGAAACCATGTTCTTACCAGATGTCTGGATATGCACAGATGGCAATGTAAATAGTCTCATTAGTTAAAATCAGGAGGAACCAAGCAGCTCAGAGCTGTCTGTGAGAAGAGCTATTTAAAACAGAGTCTGAAGTGATTTCTGAGGAGGAGGCGAATGCCTCTGCCAGCTGCAGAAATACAAAGAGGAGGGAAATTTGAAATCCTCTCCCTTCACATGCAATCTCTACAACTCCTCATCAGTATGAATTAGATGACATTGACTGAGGGACAGATACTGTTTTCACAGGTGGGAAGCAAAACCCTGAGCAATGGCTGCTGTTACAGAATTAGTATTAAAAGATGGAGCACAGAGAGCAGCTGAAGTAGAACAGAGGGAGGAAGTGTTTGTTGTAAAAGAAAGCAAGAGAGTAAAACCAATGAAAGGCTGAAGAAGAAAGACCAAAGTCAGGGAGAAAAACTGTGTTAGGGAGAGATCTTAAAGAAGTACAGAGGAGCACGATCGATGAACTATTGAGGGCTCTGTCTCTCATCACTTAATGATTGTTATCTCTGTATTTTTATTTCAGCAGAGAATCTGATCTCGATCTCTCATCCCTAAACTTTTCCTCTTTTTTCTCACCTGTCCACAGCTATCGCTGTCATGGAGTAGATGCTGGCGAAGACAGCTGTGATTGGGAAGAAGTTGTGGAAGCGGCAGTAAGCCTCTCCAAAGTACCACTCGCTGTGCAGCGCGTAGATGAAGTTGATGAGAGTATTGAAAGCAGCCATGGAGGCATCGGAGAAGGCCAGGTTCACCAGGAAGTAATTGGTCACCGTCCTCATGTGCTTGTGAGCCAGGATAATCCAGATGACAATGAGATTTCCAAAAACGGCCACTGCCACCACACCACCATAAGCCAGAGACCACAGGGCAATGCGCCAAGAGGGTTGCACAAACTGATTGGAGAAGTTGGCTGCTGAGGATGCTACAGGGGAAGAAGCATTTCCCAGTGCCTGTCCCCAGGGATCGCCCACTGCAGCAAGGCTCACGTTCCACCTGTTGCTCATGCTCACGTTCCAGTTGGCTGTGGGGACAGAAGTCATCTTGGACGTTCCTCTCCTCTCTTCCGGGAACGATGTGACTCTCCCACCTCCCTCTCCCAACTCTCCAAATTCCCCACTAACAGATAAGAAGAGGAAAGAAGAAAAAAAGGAAGTAAGGTGGCACAGCAGGTACTGGGAAGGAGAGATCTGTCAGGAAAAGCTTTGGCTACGGTGTTCAAACTGTTAGAAATGCTGTACCAGCTGAGTCAGGAGAGCTACGTCTGGGTAGAACAGCATCCCATTCCTCCTCTGTACAGCCACCTCTTGCTTTTGGTTTTGCTGAAGGAGAAAGGGACTGGGAGCCAAGGCACATTTTATAGGCTTGTGAGTTCCCAGCGTCATGAAAGGAGTGGAGCGATAAGCTCTGTCAGCTGGTAAGATAACACCTCTTTCTCTCTGTTCTCCCTCCTCCCCTTTTATTTCATTCATTGCCAGCAGCAGGCACTTTCAGGAGCTGTGGAGAGCGCCACCGGAAAAATGAATTCTCGTCTTGTTTTTGTTGAGAGATTTGTTTTATATTGCCTTTCTTTAAGTTTCATTATTGCGCTTCCTTTTCAAATAGTCTTTTTACCCTGCCTTTGCAGGGCTAATTAGCTGGCTTAGTTGAACAACCCAGGACTGAGACTGTGTTTTATTAAAGCTGTTTCCAGATGAATTTATGAATTTATTCCAGATGAATTCAGATCTGTTTTTTTTGCTGCTGTCTCTTCATTTAGTACACGCTTTCCTTTTAACCATTCTGTTAACTACAGATTTGGAATAGTGACCTCTTTCAGATAAAGAAATACATCCTGCTGCTCCCTAATTTCACTTTTCAATCTATAATATGTAATTGACATGAAGAAACATTTACAAAATTGAAATGTGACTATCTTTTTCTTACAGCACTAACTTTGGTGCCTGTAAAGCCACTTGCACGTTCAGCAGACACTGATTTTTGTTGAAACGTTTTGCAGCCCCAAACATAGATGTCTTTAAATATGGGTAAAATGGTAGGGGTTTTTTTTCTTTGTATCTTTGAAAAAAAAGTTTTTTTAGTTCTTTTTACTTATTTGCATTCATAGATGTCTAAATATGGGTAAAATGGTAGGGTTTTTTTTTCTTTGTATCTTTGAAAAAAAAGTTTTTTTAGTTCTTTTTACTTATTTGCATTTATTCCACACTTAGTACTATTATTATTTTGAGCAAACAATAGTTTTATATGCAGTGATTTCTATACTGGTAGAAAAGGGTATATGAGGAAATTTAACACCTATGTTTTCACATCCAAGAAATCAGTTTTCTTGTTAATATGTTAACAGCAACTGTCACTGGGAATGCATGCTTTGTGCAAGAGTTGATTGCAAGGGACTTCAACTAACAAACCTTTGTTATTCAATAGGCTGCAGTCTTTAGGGAGGAAATGTGTTTTAGTGCTGATCTGCTCCATGCTTCAACAATTTAGAGCTACTACTTGTCATCAGCAGAGATTTCAACTGTATCACAGCAGTGGGAGCTATTCAATACCCCTATCAGCAATGACACATTCTACATTTTTTTAAACAAAAGCTTCATACAAAAATCAAATATTCCTGTGTGCCACTTCCTCCCTGCTGTATTTACCCCGTGGAAGTAGTGTCTGCACTTTAATTGTCAGGTCTTCACTGCAGTTTTAATTTGAATGACTGCAACTGTGGCCATTTCTATATGCTTCTCAGGTCTTACCAGCTGACATGATCTTAAGTTAGCTTAAACTACAATGAACTGTAGGATGTATTTCTCTGCCTTTTGGGCATGTATAGAGGTGACTTTGGGAAGGCAGTGAAGAATAAGCAGTTGAGTAATTCAGGTGCACTCTCCTGGTAAAATCAGTGGGGTGCTGGCCAGAGGATTAGTAGCTAGGGCCCCTTGTTGTATCATATTGTCCAAATTAGGCCAGTGGGATAGACTGTGAGAATCCCATACCTGGGCAAAGAAATCTGATTTGTAATAAACGATCTAAGTCACAGGCAAAATCCAAGTAAGAAATTGAATTAACTATGGTAAAGAAAATCTCTGTGAGTCTGAGTGTTGAAAGAATTCAAATGGTGGTTCCAATGAGTGAGGAATACTGGACTGACTAGTTATAGCAGAGACTTGGACACTCAACTCGACTCCAGAAGCTTCACTCAAGCTTTTCATATGGCTATGAGCCAGAAAGCACAAACCCAGCCCTGTGCCCTACCTTTCCATCTTTATGCCCAAACTAGGAACTCCAGACTGTATCCTTTCACTAAGCTGATGTGTTTTCCACATTCCCAGACCAGCTGCCCAAGTCCTTGTGTCCCACGTGCTTCTGTTGCTTCCACCCAGCTCTCCCAGCCTCAGCTCTATTACTCCTTTTCCTCAGTTTCAGCAGAGACACAGGGACGTTACTTCTTGCACACAGTACTGCTAGGCATGCAGCAGAGTGCAAACCTATAGGAACAGCACACAGTATAGCACCTGCAGTAACTTCCCTTGTATAGAAACATAAAGGACCTGTGTTTGAACTATTCGCTCTGCATAGTTCATGGAGTCACATTCTGGTCTTGTGTGCAAATTCTGTCTCAGTGGTGAATTCCCCTAAAAAATGTGCAATATGCAGTAGTTCTGCACCAATGCTGCAAACTAGGGGCTGTATTTTGACTTTGAGAGCAGGAGTCTAATTTCTTGTTCCTCTTCTCTCACAGGAATGAAGCTTGTTCTAGCTCTCTGTCTTGGAAAATTGCTTGCCATTGCATACCGCGTGTTCTGGAGAGACCATTCCCATATGTATTTCCCTAATCCTCTACAGTGGCCCCAAGGGAAATTGTTCTCCTCAATACATTCCTAGTCACAGTGTGAGAAGTTAGTACAAGTCAACACCTCATTATGCAAGCAAAGCTATCAGTAAATCGAGTCCTTGAGAATTACTTTAAACAAAAATCAGGAAGCTTTTTGTATTCTGTGTTTGTGAAATGTCAGTCAGACCACCAACACAGTATGTGAACAAAAGTGTCTGCTTTGCAGTGTAGAAATGAAAGTATCATTGATTCCTGTCTTCCTCTTCAGGGGTACCCTGAGGAAACTGAGGAAATATTCCACTCCTGTAGGGAACTTCTTATATACTGTGCTCTTCCCCATCCCCTCTTCTCCACGCATGAGAAGAGAAACTGTGGTGTACCATTAGCATAGCTCCATAATGGACAACCTAGATTTTTCATCAGTTGCTGCTCAGTAAGCTGGATGTTATCTGTTGTGTTGCGGCAGGTATCCAAATCTGGCAGAAGAGGTGGCTGAGTATCTGGAGCTGTTTTGCTTTGAGAAATTGAACACTGAACAGCGCAGGGCAAATATTGGGCAACTGGATCAGCCTCCCATGAGCAACATTTACAATTCCTTTTGGAGATGACTGTAGAAATTTGCTAGAATAAATTCCTCTGTGCTCTAGCTTTCATTCTTATTGAAACCCTAGAGGAGCAGTCTGATACAATCAATTGGAGCAAAACCAGGCCCTCCTACATCCAAAAGACTACAGCAAAGAAATACGTTGACCTGTGCTTTAGCACCTGTCTTGCTAGCATTTTATTTAACTAATTAAGGAAAGAGGTCAGGCAGCCAGTAACTGGCTCTTGCCTAGACAGGAAATTCCCTTGGACAGTGAATTCAGCTGTGCTTCTCCATCAAAATTTGTGTTGATTATACATGTACTGATTGAAATTTGGTCAGCTGAAGGTCATCAGCATTCAGTTTCTCAAATAAGTGCCACAGCAGCTTTGGTGAAAACATTTGTATTAATAACTTCTGTGTAGCAAAACCTGCCTGACTGGTTTTTTTTTTCCTTATGGAAAGGAGCAGTACAAAAGACAAAGATCTGTGGTTTTTCTCAGTCTCTTCTAGAAAAATACAGTAGTTGTAGAGGCTAACCATTCTCGCATTTTCTTCTGAAACTGTTACAGGTACATGATTTCTTATGTTAACTTTTGCCCATTCCAGCCTATACATATTCATAGTGGGAATGTTTCATTTTCTTCTAGGTAAGACTGTACTCAATTTTAGAGTGCCTGCTTTCTGGTCATCTGCTATTTGCTGTTGTCTTTCGCCCTTCCACTGATAGCTACTTCGTGCTCATCATAGAATAGTTTGGGTTGGAAGGGACCTCTAAAGGTCATCTAGTCCAACCCCCCTGC